TTTTTTAATATACAGGCATATTTCAATTAACAAAGTCTCTGATAAAGAAGTCTTTTTATGTCCAGCCAGGGGGACTCTTTAACTCCTCATCCTCTGTCCAGCTCAAAGTCTTTTAGCAGCAACGGTTTGGAGAGAATAGGAAGAAACACAGGCTTTTAGTGTCAGCTTGGTGAAGTGTGTGCAGTAAACACAATAAAGCTTGATTAGGGAAAGAATGGGATTCTATTCTAGCCCATCATACTACAGCTGTGTCTCTGTGTGTGTCTGCCTGCAAGAGGTAATGCAAATAACAGCTAACTCAGAATCCCTTATTGATTATGTGTGAACAGCAAAACAAAGAGAAAAAGAAAAGCAGATAACCCTGCATCACCAGCTACTGCCAGTATGTTAAAAGAGCACAAATCTATAGGTATGGCCACCAAAATGGAAATTATAAGAAAACTGAAGGCTGCTGGAAGAAAAAAAAATCATCCCTGGATGCATTTTTGGAAGAAGCTTTCACATGATCTCTAGAAAATTCAAAATGCTTTTGTTTACTTATGCAATGCTTATCACATCTAGTTATTTTACCTCACAGGTTCATATTGTTAGCTTTGAATAAAATGTTTGCTGAAACGTATTGGACTTTTTTGTGGTGTAGGAATGTCTCCCTGTTCTTTTCATTTTATTTCTGCCTTTGGTACCAAATTTTCTGTTGAAGTAGTAATGCCCATGAATGTATCTACGGTACTTCATTACCAAAGGTATTCCTGTGTTACAGCTCTCTGATTCTTTCTGAACTTCAATCACACTATTGCCTTCTCTTCCACTATGACTTCCTTGCTCTTATTCAAGAGGCTTCTCTGAACCAAGAGGCTTCTCTGAACACCCACCTGATTTATACAATTCCTCTCTCTGCCATAATTTACCCATGCAACAGGGTCCATTGAACTTTTCTATAGCATTTTCAGGACACTGGAAGAACTGCTACGGGGTGAAGAAGTCAGAGAAGTCCCCCTCCACCAACCCAAGTTCCAGGGTGGTATCCTGATCTTTGCAGAGGGGCGGGTTATAAATAAAATTTTATTATTATTATTATTATTATTATTATTATTATTATTATTATTAATCTGATCTGGATCATTTACGTTACCCAGTACAAACAAACAAACAAAAACAGCATCTGATCTTTTTATGTAGAGATTAGGAGTGACTGAACATCAAGTTAAGACAGACAAATGATACCATATCACTAGTGGAAAGCAACACACATTTGGAATAATCACTAAACAAAGTTAAAGAAGAAAGTGCAGGCCTATTGTTAAACATAAAGAAAAAAAAATAATGACCATAGAGGATTTACAGAAATTCAACCTAGATAACAAGGAAATAAAAATAGTTAAAGACTTCCCATACCTTGGGTCAAACATTAATCAGAATGGAGACTGCAGTTAAGAAATCAGAAGATTAGGAATGGGAAGGGCAGCTATGAAAGTACTAGACAAAATCCTAAAGTGTAAAGATATACAGCTGAACACTAAAATTAGAATAGCCACTGTATTCCCCATTACTATATATGGATGCAAGAGCTGGACAGTGAAGAAAACAGATAGGAAGAAATTAATTCATTTGAGCTGGAGAAGAGTGCTGAGGATACTCTGGACAGCCAAAAAAGACAAACCATTGGGTCCTAGATCAAATCAAGCCTGAACTCTCCTTGGAAACCAAGATGACTAAAGTGAGGCTATCGTACTTCGGCCACATCATGAGAAGGCGTGAGTCATTAGAAACGACAATGATGCTGGGAAAGGTAGATGGCAGTAGAAAGAGAAGAAGACTGCATGCCAGATAGATAGACTCAGTCAGGGAGACCACAGGCCTGAGCCTTCAGGGTCTGAGCAGAGAGGTAGAGGATAGGGAGGCCCTGGAGATGTCCCATTCATAGGGTGGCCATGAGCTGAGGTCAACTCAAAGGCAGCTAACAACAAACAAAACATTTTTTTAAAAAAAAGGAATGGTATATCAAAACATTCTAAATAAAATTAACAGGAGCAGGTGGCAGTCAATAGATGTCTGGAACCTAATAATACAAATTTCAATCACATTAATAACCAAAAATGGCTTACTTAAATTTAAATGTTTCTCCTAATTCAGATGCATTTCCTGGAGAAATTTCAAATATTCCTGAAAAGGGGTATGGATGGCCACCATAAGCAAATTCTGAAAGACAAATTCATAGCATTATGTGCAATGCATAAGATTAGCTGGATGTCGATAACTCTCCCTATTTTTGTAACTTTAAAGGCATGCTAGCTGGATGTCGATAACTCTCCCTATTTTTGTAACTTTAAAGGCATGCTTGGAAGCAGTCTCTTGCAGATCAAGTATCATGGACTACTTTCTATTCATAATTTCTGCCACACACCCCCCCCAATATGTTATAAATTTATATGCAATGTTTACATTACAATTAATTACTAATAATTTAACTTTCTATTTAAGGTTGGACACAGTGACTCAGCAGTTAAGACACTGACTCTGATGACTGTAAGACTGGCAGTTTGAGGCCCAAGTGCCATGGGATGGAGTGAGCTCCTGCCGCTAGTCCCAGCTTCTGCCAACCTAGCAGTTCAAAAGCATGTAAAAGTGCAAGTAGATAAATAGGTGCCACTTTGGTGGGAAGGTAACAGCATTCTGTGCAGTCATGCTGGCCACACAATCACAGAGTTGTCTTGATAAACGTTGGCTCTTTGGTTTAGTAATGGAGATGAGCACTGCCCCCTACAGTTGGACACAACTTGACAACCCTGTCAAAGGGGAAACCTTTACCTTTTAAGGTTAGAATCCTGCTGGAGCACTGGATTGCTGCAACTATCCCAGTGCAGGCAGTAGTGGCAAGTGGGAAAAGGCTGAGGACACAGCAGCCATAATGGAATCAAGGCACGGAAGAAACAGGTAGTTTCTCTGCTTCCCACTGCTTCGCAACCTGGAAAAATTACAACTGCTAACACAGTGCAACAACAGGATTCCACCCTAGAATGCCATGAAGACCAGTATGTGTAAAGCATTTGTACTGAAAACATGGATGGAATGCACTTAGTGACATATGTGCATGTAATGTGTTTATATATCCCCTTTTTGAATTTATTGCAAGTGGCTATTCTCTAGTCTCTTGTCCTCTATCCAAAACCTTCCCCTCTCACAGAGACTATGAGGGAGGTGAGTAGGCACTCTGCCCTTTCAGACTGCATATGAGAGAGGCAAAGGAAGGATACCGTTCCTGTTCCTCTGACTCTCTGTGTAGAAAACTGCAAGGATGCAGAGAGGGATTCTTCACTGCCAATTGGCTACAGCAGTGGTAGCAGCAGTGATCACCGTGGGGCTCGGCTGCCCTGAGAGCAGGGGGAAGCACACAGCATTGCATTCCACACATCCCATGCTGGAGTTTGGTCCATAGGAGAACAATGAGAGTACTTATAATTTGATTTTGTTGTCAAACAAGAGGTAATGAAATACAGTTCTTTATGCCAACCACTGCAAATACTTTGAAGTATATCTTTTAATGTTTATATAAATTTAAAATGTATTACACACCTCTGCCATATATTTCTATTCCTGAATGAAATACTCCAATCCCAAGAGAAGAAGTGTATTCATTCATCCAGTACTGAAAAGAAAAAGAAAAAAAAAGAGAGAGAGAGGAAACAGGAAGTTTTACTAATGAATTATGAGTATATTTCAAACATCAACTTTCTGGCTTGGATGCCAGTATCTGTATGTAGGGAAAGGTGATTTTTGCCAATTTCCCCTATAGTGCATTACATTTCTTACAAATCTGTTAGTAGTTGCCCTGTGGACGGTACAGGAGATTACAGGGGAAAGGAGGAATAAACTCTTGCCCTTTCTGTGGATGGAAAAGCCTTGCTGGATCCAAGCCTATGTATTTTTGAAGTTCAAGCATAGTCAGTGGTGGATTTTTCATTACATAGTTGGATGTATACTCAAGCATATAATCAACAAGATTTGCATTTAACATACTCAAAGTACTGTACTACCAATCACCAGAATAATCAGTAAATAGCAAAGAACTAGAACTATTAAAATGAATCCATTTCTGTGTCTATTTCCATTTCAGATCCAGTTTCTAAAGCCAGATTCTCAGACAGCAATGTGTATAAAATGACTATATTAATCTTTTTTCAGAAAAACATGTTTTTATGCAACTTATTTGCAATAAATTCTTCACGCAATGCATACCTAACATATGGATTCACAAAACCTCACAATGGAAACAGAAGGGGAGGGCAGATCAAACAAATCCTCTTATAGACCCTTCATAAATATTAGCAGCTCAAACTATAGAACTCCAATTAGAGACAGACTGAACCTTGAAGGATTAGATGGTCATCACTTTCTTGCCTGTCTTGTGGCTAGGGATGTGGGCATTGCAGTTCAATAACATAAGGAGGCCCACACAAGTTCCATCCTTACTCTCTGCAAGCTCTGATAAAACATCTTTTCCCAATGTGACTTTGCCTATCCATTAGGATCAGTTGTGTTATTGCCTTCTGAAGTATAGCTGATGGCAAAACACAAAAAGATATTTTCTGCAGTGGGACCCATAATGCTTGACATCATGGCCATGACTTATTATGTCTACAGACCTCCAGTCTATCCCCCATGCTGTTTAAGATTTCAGCAAATGTGGAGAAAAAAGTTGTCTGGAGATCTCACACTCAACTGTATTGCTCCATGGGGCTTTACTGGAAAAAATAACAGAGGACACAGTGTGTGTCTATTTTCAGATTATATAACAGATATTTTTATATACAGGTTGAGTGTCCTTTTGCAAAATGTTCGGGACCAGAAATGTTTTGTATTTTGAATTTTTTCCAGATTTTGGAATATTGTATTTGCATATACATACATAATAATGTATCTTAGAGATGGGATCCACATCTAAACACAAAATTCATCTATGCTTCTTATACATATAGCCTGAAGATAATTTTATACCAAGAGCCAGCATGGTGTAGTGGTTTGAATGTTGGACTAGGACTCTGGAGACCAGGGTTCGATTTTCTACTCAGCCATAGAAATCCACTAGGTGACCTTGGGCGAGTTGCACGCTCTCAACCCCCCAAAAAATCCATGATAGTTCTACCTTTGGGTTGCCATAAATCAAAAATGACTTGAAGACATACAACAACAAATTTTATACAATATTTTGCAATAATTTTGTGTGTGAAACAAAGTTTGTGTATATTGAACTACGAGAAAGCAAAAGTGTCACTTTCTCAGCCACCCATGAAAAATATTTTGACTTTTGAAATATTTCATATTTTGGAATTCCAAATAAGGGAGACTCACCCTATATTATTATTATTATTATTATTATTATTATTATTATTATTATTAGTTGTTGTTGTTGTTTTACTATTACTACCAGACACAGAACTGGTAGGAAAATGGGATATACATTTTGCAAATACTGTATACATACACACTCTCTACCTAGCAGGATGTTTTTTGTTTCAGTGAAAAAAACATGAAAGTGAAAATTAAAAGAATGCAAAATCTTGCATGTACATCATCTTTAATGCTATGGGAAAGAAAGAGGCTACCATTTTAGTTGTAACAGCTTACATATAACCATTATCATAGGACCAGGAGCAGGCTCCTTTTCAGTAAATTATGACAAAAAGAAAGCAGTCTTAATTAGTTAAACTAAAAGATTGTTTAGATTATTTATCATGAAAATCAAAATGAAAGAAAACTATTTTCTAATGGAAGGCAAAGACAATCTGCTGACTTCAATAATAGTTCACAACAGGACTTATAAACCTCCATACTTGGCTACACAAATACCTATGATTAATAAATAACATTATGTTGTAATCCAGTTCCTTGCTTGCAACACTGTAAGAACACTATAAGAACTACAAGGTGATAATGATAATGAACACAACTCTGAAATGTTTTGAAGAATCCACAGAACTGAAGCCAAATTTACTGATGTTCTTTTCATTCTTCCAATAAGAGAGGATTAGTCCCATTTCCTCTCCCTTCCACCAACAGGTGGAGTAATTATTTGGCTTCCTTACCTTGAGTCAAAATTTTACTTGTTGTGATGCCATGAAACAAAATACCGTAAGCCCTTTAAATTGTATACAGTTTATATAGTTTATACAATTTATAAAAAGAAAATATGGCAAAATACATCCCAGTGCAGCATATGTTGAAATGTAAAGTAATTGTTCTTGAACAAGGTGGAAATCACATGGCCCTCCAGATGCTGTTGAACTGCGACTACCAGCAAGTTTAGGTAGCATGAACTCTATAAACTGCAGTTGCAAGCAACATCTGAGATTTCCATTTCAGTTTCTAGTCTATGTAATTACGGAATGATATATAGGGTCTCTTGGCTTATGACAGTTTTACCTCAAAAGTGTTGTGGCAACTTGTGCTGCCATGTAAAAAGCAAGATTAAAACATTAAGAGATACTAAATCAAACATATCCAGCATCAGTTCTGCTCATCCAACCATGAAATTCTTTTAAAAAACAAATACTTAGCACACATCTCCACTAAAACATCACTATAGAATATGTTTAATAAACACTCACAGGCCTTATAGGGCCTATGTTCTACAGCAGTGATCCCAATTTTTTTTGGGGTGGGGTGGGGTGGGGTTACCACCCCTTTTTCTCTCGGGTGACAACCCCAACACTCCCCCTGCAAACATGTATTTCTTGATATTAGGTCTACTGCATATTCAAAACAATCAATCTCAGTTGCTGCTCCCTTTGCCACCTGGTCACCCTGGGAGCAGCAACCGAGTAACTGGCTGAGAAGTGACTGAGAAGTCTCTTTCCTGTACTGGCCTTGTAGCAGAGGCATCACTAAGGGGCATGGAGGGTGAGGACCAAGACAGGCAACACCATCAGTGGAGTGACTTCAACCACCACCCTAGTAACGCCAGTGTTGCTCCCTAAATGTCTGTCTTTTGGAAGAAATGGGATGTAGCATTAATGTACCTCATGTAAGACATGAGGAGTTCAGCAAAAAGAATGTGTGGACAGAAACTGAGGCAAACAAGGCCTCCTTTCTCTGCCCGCTGAAAGACCCTCTGGGAAGAGAGGAGGAGATAGGTCAGGATTTTCTGGGTTCCTCTGTCCTCCTGGCCTGGCCCTATCCATGACAGAGGGAGAAGCAGGCAGGAGAATCATCAGGGAGCGAATGAATGTGAGGAGGACTGTTGTCTTCCACTGACACAAGAGCCTCCAATTTTATGAGAGGGATGCAGGAGGAATCTAGGGATTCTTCTTCTTCTTAACTCTCAAAGCAGTGTCAAATCTTGTCAATTCTGCTTCCTGCTTTGGAAACTGGAGGCTGTGGTCTCCTGTTGATGCACCAGCCTCCTGCTACGGGAGTTAAGAGGACCCCTGGATTCTTCCTGCACGCTACTCCTGAAGCTGGAATCTCTTGTGTGACTGGGAGACAGCAGTTTCCAGCTCCAGGAGTTAGGAGGTTGAAGACGTTTAGGAGTTGTTTAGATCACAACTACTGGTACTACATTCAGTGATATACATAATTATTAAGGTGTAACATTAGTACAAAGAACATTAGTAATGATTACGTATGGTCTTGTAGGGGTCTGGCCTGTTCAGTGAAAGAAAGTAGAAACAGCACTGTAACTCTGACCTGCCAGCCAGGTCCTGGCAAAACTCACAAAGCTTAAGCGGGATCCCAAATTTGAAAGCCCCTTTTTGCTGCCACTTCTCTCCCACTGCCACTACTATTAATTTCCCAACTACCTCTAGCAAAAGACATGGCTAAGGGAGTGAGCTCATGTGGAGAGGTGAAGAATGGGGAAACACCACCACACGAAGCAATCAGTATGGATGTGCTGTGGTTTTAAGGGACCCTGAAGTTTCATGCAGACCTCATCCCCACCATAGTCCTAAAGGCCACTGGTTCCTCTCGTCTTTCTTGCACACCAATACTTTATTACTGACAGCCACCCCCTGCTGCCCCCTTTTCCTCTTACCATCGCCCTGGATCTTTCCGCCGCCCCCAGGGGGGTGTACCACTCACTTTGGGGAAAACTGTTCTACGGCATGGATTCCAAATAAAGTGAACAGGTGAAAACCCTGCTTTCTCGTCCCTCGTGCAGGGCACCGTTGTATAGAAAGGCAGGGTTCAAGTTGTCTATAGACAAGTGAAAACAAGATATTTAGCACTTTATTTTAACCATCAGAATACTTTAATATTTAACAGCTATTTATGTCTAAAAACTATTCTACTTTCAAGAATAATTATTTCCTTTCCGTAAGATTTCCCAGGGAATAGAACTGAACAAGGGATTTTGAATATTATGTTGCTGTTGTATGCCTTCAAGTCATTTCTGACTTATGGCAACCCTATCATGGGGTTTTCTGGGACTAAGAGTGTGTGACTTACTCAAGGTCACCCAGTAGGTTTCCATGACCAAGTGGGAACTGAGCCCTGATCTCCAGGGTTGTAGTCTCACCACTCAAACCACAACACCACGATGGCATTTTGTACTGATTGTAAAAGGCATTCTTTCTTAACCTTTAAAAACTTTCTAAGTATATATATAAAACTAATATGTAGTCTTCATGCAAGCAGTTTAAAAAACAAAAAATCTTGCACGGAGTGACTTAATGTGGAGTATTTTCTGACTCCATGTGAATTCCAGTATCTTGCAGGGTATGACAATGCCACATGTCTACAGAAATGTTTATAGGTATAAGATCAAGGGTATTCCACAATATCCAAAAAGCAAGAGCCAGAAAGCACATGCTCATTTGAGATGAAACCAATTGTTTGCTCCACTTTATGTAAAAGACTGTAACCAATACAATTCTTGTCTTTAAAAAATACTGTTTTTGCCTGCCAAAACAAAAACCTGTATCATTTTTTATTCTTTTTTGTGAACAATCAAGAATGTAAATGTTGCTCCCTAATGGCCTGTCACTGGCCTATGGGTGCCAATGCACTTACAAAACTAATGTAATACAGGTTGTTTTACAAGTGGAAAAAGATCATAGAATCATAGAGTTGGAAGAGACCACAAGGGCCATCCAGTCCAACCCCCTGCCATGCAGGAACTCAAAATCAAAGCATCCCCGACAGATGGCCATCCATCCTCTGTTTAAAGACCTCCAAAGAAGGAGACTCCACCACTCTCTAAGGGAGTGTGTTCCACTGTCAAACAGCTCTCACTGTCAGGAAGTTCTTCCTAATGCTGAGGTGGAATCTCTTTTCCTGTGGTTTGAATCCACTGTTCTGGCTCCTATTCTCTGGGGCAGCAGAAAACAAATTTGTTCCCTCCTCAATATGACATCCCTTCAAATATTTAAAGAGGGCTATCATATTACCTCTTAACCGTATCTTATCTAGGCTAAACATACCCAGTTCCCAAGTCATTCCTCGTAGGGCATGGTTTCCAGACCCTTCATCATTTTAGTTGCCCTCCTCTGGACATGCTCCAGTTTTTCAACATCCTTTTTGAATTGTGGTGCCCAGAACTGGACACAGTATTCCAGATGGGGCCTGTCCAAAGCAGAATACAGTGGCACTATTACTTCCCTTGGTCTAAATACTATACTTCTATTGATGCAGCCTAAAATCGTATTGGCCTTTTTAGCTGCTGTACCATACTGTTGACTCATGTTCAACTTGTGGTCTACTTGGACTCCTAGAT